ACTGAATCATCATGAAATAAAATAGCTGAATAGATTAATTACTAGGAAAAAGACTGAAACAGTAATCTCAAACAAAAAACTCTCAATGAAGAAAAGTCCAAGACCAGGTGGTTTCACTGGTAAATAGTACAGATATTAAAAAAATATTTAAATACCTATCCTTCTCAAACTCTTTCAAAAAATGTAAGAGAAGAGAATGCTCCCAAACTCATTTCACAAGGCCAACATTACCCTGATGCCAAAATCAGACAAAGATACCACACAGGAAAATAAAATTATAGGCTAGTATCACTGATGAAAATAGGTGCTAAAATCTTCAACAAAATATTAGCAAACTGAATTTAAGAATTCATTAAAAGGATCATGTATCCTGATCAAGTGGGATTTATTCCAAGGATGTAAGGATGGTTCAACATCCACAAATCAGTAATATGATATATCACATTAACAAAAATAATAATTAAAATCATATGATTATCTCAATAGATGCATTTATGATTAAAAAAAAAAAACTCTCAACAAGTGGGTATAAAGAGAACATACCTTAACCTAATACAGGCCATATATGACATGCTCACAGGTAACATCATACTCAGTGATGAAATCATGAAGGTTTTTTCCTTTAAATCAGGACCAAGACAATGATGCTTACTCTCACCACTTTTAGTCAAAATAGCATTGTAACTCAGAGCATTTAGGCAAGGGGGAAAAAGCATCCAAATTGAAAAGGAAGAAGTGAAACTGTTACTATTTGCAGATGACATGATACTATGACTTCCCTTGTAGCTCAGTTGGTAAAGAATCTGCCTGCAATGCAGGAGACCTGAGTTCACTTCCTGGGTGGGAAGATCCCCTGGAGAAGGAAATGGCAACCCATTCCAGGATTCTTGCCTAGAGAATCCCCATGGACAGAGGAGCCTGACAGGCTACAATCCATGGGGTCACAAGAGTTGGATGCAACTTAGAGACTAAACCACTATATATATATATATATATATATATATATATATATATATATACACACACACACACACACACACACACATATATATATGTAAAACCCTAAATACTCCACCAAAAAAAACCCAGTTAGAACCAATAAAGGGTTGAACCAATAAATAAGCTGCAAGGTAAAAATTAATATGCAAACTCATATTTTTATACACTAACAATGAACTATCAGAAAGAAAAATTAATAAAAAAATCCCATTTAAAATGGCATCAAAAAGAATAAAATACACACAAACAAATTTAACTAAGGAGCTGAAAGATCCACACACTGAAAACTATAAGACACTGATGAAAGTAACTGAAGAAGACACAAATAAGTGGAAAGATATCCCATGCTTATGGATTGGAAGAATATAATTAAAATGTCCATATTACCCAAAACAATCTACAGATTCAATGCAATCCCTACCAAATTACCAAAGGTATTTTTCATAGAAATAGAACCAACAGTCCTAAAATTTGTATGGAATCATAAAAGATCCTGAATAGCCTAAGCACTCTTGCAAAGGAGAACAAGGCTGGAGGCAGCATGCTTTCTGATTTCAGACTATACACTGAAGCTGTAAAATCAAAACGGTATGATATTGGCATAAAAAGATCAATGGCACAGAATAGACAGCCTAAAAATAAACCCACACATAATACGGGCAGTCAATTTACAATAAAGAAGGCACAAATACGAAGTAGGAAAAGGCCAGTCTCTTCAAAAATAGTGCTGGGAAAACTGGATGAAGTAAGTAAAGTCGCTCAGTCGTGTCCAACTCTTTGCGACCCCATGGACTATAGCCTACCAGGCTCCTCCCATGGGATTTTCCAGGCAAGGGTACTGGAGCGGGTTGCCATTTCCTTCTCCAGGGAAAACTGGATAGCCACAGGCAAAAGAATAAAACTGGACCACTATCTTACATCATACACAAAAATTAGCTCAACTGAGATATTTATATGTTTATATTTATAATATTTTATACTTATATGTAGGTAATAGAATATTACTCAGCCATAAAATAGAATGGACTGGACCTTAAGGGTATTATGCTAAGTGAAATGAGGCATAGAGGAAGAAAAACACCATATGATTTTAGTTATCTGTGAGATCTGAAAAACAAATGAACAAACAAAACACATAGATACAGGGAACAGACTGGTGGTTGCCAGAATGTGGAGAGGTGGGCATAAATAGATGCAGGGTGTCAGGAGGTACAAACTTCCCAGTTATGAAATAAATAAGTCTTATAGTTTTCAAATTATAGGTCTTTTGTCTCCTTAAGTAGGTTTATTCCAAAGTATTTTATTCTTCTTAATGAGATGGTAAATGGGGTTGTTTCTTGAATTTCTCTTTCTGATCTTTCATTGTTACTGTATATAAATGCAACAGATTTATGTGTACTAATTTTGTGACCTTCAACTTGACCAAATTCATTGATGAGCTCCAGCTGTTTTCTTTAGGATTTTCTGTGTATAGCATCATGTCAGCTGCAAACAATGACAGTTTCATGTCTTCTTTTTCCAATTTAGATTCTGTTTGTTTTTCTTCTCTGATTGCCATAGCTAGGACTTCCAAAACTATGTTAAATAGAAGTGGCAAGGGTGGACATCCTTGTCTTATTCCTGATCTTAGAGGAAATGCCTTTACCCTTTCATTGTTGAGTATAATGTTAGCTGTAGGTTTGTCATATATGACCTTTGAGGTATGTATTCAAATTATGTTGAGGTATGTACTCTCTATGTCCACTTTCTGAAGAGTTTTTTTTTAATCATAAATAGGTGTTGAATTCTGTCAAAAGATTTTTCCGCATCTTGAAATGATCATGTCACCTCACACCAGTCAGAATGGCCACCATCAAAAAATTCCACAAAAAATAAATGCTGGAGAGAGGGTGTTGAGAGAAGGGACCCCTCTTACACTCTCAGTGGGAATATGAATTGGTGCAGCCACTATGGAGAACAGTGTGAAGATTCCTTAAGAAGCTAAAAATAGAGCTACCATGTGATTCTACAATCCCACTCCTGGGCATATACCCAGAGAAAAACATGGTCCAGAAGGATACATGTACCTCAATGTTCATTGCAGCACTATTTACAACAACCAAGATATTTAGGAAGCAACCTAAATGTCCACAGACAGAAGAATGGATTAAAAAGTTGTGGTACATATATATAAAGGAATATTACTCAACCATGAAAAGAATGAAATAAGGCCTTATGCAGCAACATGAATGAACCTAGAGATTGTCATACTGAGTGAAGAAAGTCGGAGAAAGCAGTATCATATGATACTGCTTATATGTGGAATCCAAAAAGAAATGATACAAATGAGCTAATTTACAAAAGAGACACAGACTCACAGACTTAGAGAAGGAACTTATGGTTATGGGGGGAGGAATGGGGGATATTTAGAGAGTTTGGGTTGACATGTACACACTATTATATTTAAAATGGATAACCAACAAAGATCTACTACATAGCACAGGGAACTCTGCTCAATTTTCTATAACAACCTAATGGGGAAACGAATTTGAAAAAGAATAGATACATGTATATGTAGAACTGAATCACCTTGTTGTGGACCTGACACTCACACAACCTTGTTCACCAACTGTACTCCAATATAAAATGAAAAGTTAAAACGTGAAAATAAAAGAAATGTTATGGGGATGTTATATATAGCATGGTGACTATAACCAATAATACTGTGTTGTAGATTTGCAAGTTGCTAAGAAAGGAAATCTTGAAAGTCCTCATCACAAGAAAAAAGGTGTTTGTAAATGTGTATGGTGACAAATGGTGTAACTAGACTTACTGTGGCAGTCAGTTTGCAATGCATATAAAAGTTGGATCCTTATGTCGAACGTCTGAAACTTGTATAATGTTCTGTGCCAGCTGTGCTGTATCTAGCTGCTCAGTCGTGTTCAGCTCTTGGAACCGCATGGACTGTAGCCCACCAGGCTCCTCTGTCCATGGGGATTCTCCAGGCAAGAATACTGGAGTGGGTTGCCATGCCCTCCTCCAGGGGATCTTCCCAACCCAGGGATGGAACCCAGGTCTCCCACACTGCAGGCGGATTCTTTACCACCTAAGCCACCAGGGAATCCCCAAGAAATACTGGAGGGGGTGGTCTATGCCTTCTCCAGGGGATCTTCCTGACCTAGGAATCGAACCAGGGTCTCCTGCATTGAAGGTGGATTCTTTCCCAGCTGAGCTACCAGGGAAGCCCCATGTCAACTGTACTTCAATTTAAAAAGAAATCTATCACAGGAACCAGAAAAAAAAAAAAAAAAGAACAAACACAAGAAAAAGAAGACTCTTCGTTGAGCTCTTATTATGTTGTAGGCAGTTTAAATACATGATTTTCATTTCGGTCTCCATTTTTTAAAGAACAAAACTGATATTTAAGGTGATTAAATAATTTACCCCAAGTCATATAGCTGACAAGCAGCAGAGCTAGAATATGGGTTCTTAGCAATCTGTATGCTGCTCCTCATTCATCATGAAACATTGTATCAAAGTCCTTGTAAAAACATGGATCATTTAACTGAATCTTACTGTTAGAAGTATTGCAGTAAATGTCAAATTAATCAGATACTCAGACTTAATGGAAGACATACATGTTTGTCAAGAATGACCACAAGCTTGGGAAATTCCATAACTGAGGCATGGGCAAATGGAGGGGGCTCACTGCAGGTGAGGGAGGACCATGTGGAAAAGAAAACAGCATGTGCAAAGACATGGAGGTACAGAAGAGTGTGTTGAAGGGTGATGCGTAGGTTAGGAGCACAGCAGAGGTACTTTTTAGCTATTCCAACTTTAAACCAGCATTTATTCTTTTTACTGGAAATGTCTGTGCTTATAGATAATTTTCTGCTGTATTACCCTGTTTAGTGGAATGCTAAGGAGTGAAATACCTCTTTGAACTTAAATTTCAGTACTGTTGAGTCTTGATGATCATATACCAAAAAACAGAACTTCCACAAACAAAAGCACTAACTTACCAGGTGACAAAGGCATAAATTGCTCCAACGATGATAACGGCTGTTGCATAATGCCAACAAAAGCATATGGAGAGAAACATAATGTTGTCATGATCCTTTAAATCCCATGCAGGACCTCCACTAGGAGGATAAAGGACAAACCCAATCTGCAATTTAACACAAGAGCACACATTAGGAAGTGCCAGCCATATTTCCAAAGATGGTGCAGTTCAAAATGTTTCATTCCAAGATTAATGGCAACATAACTCCCATTATCTGAGATGCTACAGATAAGAAACTCTACCTGTTTTACTAAAATGGACAACACTAGTTAACACTTTTGGAAAAGGGTTAAGGATATTTATAGATCAATTTTCATAATATGAATAGTAATCACCTCTGGAGATTGGTGGATTTTCAGAGAATATGTTAGGATTCTAAGTTGCTCAGCTTCACTAAATTATTCCAAAATCAGAGTCTTGAAAAACAGGTTTTAAAATAAACAAAGCCCATGAGTAACATTATATTCACATTGAAAGCTTGTCTCCTAAGATCAGGAACAAGACGAGGGTTTCTTATTTTACCAATTCTACTTAACACTGTACTAGAAATTCTAGCCAGTGCAATTAGTGAAGAAGAATTGATAAAGAACATCCACATTGTAAAAGAAGAAGTAAAACTATCTATATTCACAAATGACATGGTCTTATATACATATAATTATAAAGAATCCACCAAAAAACCTATCAGAGCTAATAAATAAATTTAGCACACTTGCAGGATACAAAATCAACACACAAAAGATGCAATGAACAATCCAGAAAAATTAAGTTAGGAAAACAATTCCACTAATGATAGCATTGAAAAGAATAAAATACTTAGGAATAAATTTAAGCAAGGAGGCTCAAGATTTGTACCTTGCGAACTACAAAACATTGTTTAAAGAGATCAAAGAAGATATAAATAAATGGAGTGTAGCCAGGGGTCGCAAGAGTCAGACACAATGTAGCGAATAAACCACCATTACACCATATAAAAATAAACTCAAAATGAATGAAAAACCTAAATATGAGAACTAAAATCATAACTCTTAGAAGAAAACAAAAGGAAAAAGCTTCATGTCCTGGGATTTGGTGCTGATTTCTTAGACATGACACCAAGACACATCAAAATTTAAAACTTGCGTGCATCAAAGGACAGTGTCAAGAAAATGAAAAGACAACCCTTAGCATAGGAGGAAATTTTGCAAATCATATATCTGATAAAGACTTGATATCTAGAATATACTAAGAATTCCTAAATCTCAACAAAAAGCCAAACAAAATTTTAATGGGCAAAGGACTTGAGTACTCATTTCCCCCAAAGTAGGTGTTTAAATCCTCAATAAACTCAGGAAAAAATTATAAACATCATTAGTTATTAGAGATATGCAAATCAAAACCACTATGAAATATCATTTCACACCCCCTAGAATGGTATTAATAATAGTAAGTAGCAAGTGTCAGTAAGGATATGGAGAAATTGGAGTCCTTACACGTTGCTATTGAGAATGTAAAATGGTACATTATGCATGCTCAGTCTTGTCTGACTGTTTGTGACCCCATGGACTGTGGCCCTCCAGGCTCCTCTCTCCATGGAAGAATACTGGAATGGGTTGCCATTTCCTGGTCCAGATGATCTTTCCAACCCAGGGACCAAACCCATGTCTTGTATCTCCTGCACTGGCAGGCAGATTCTTTACCACTGTACCACCTGGGAAGCCCATAAAATGATACAGCCATGTGGAAAACAATTTGACAGTTTCTCAAAAAGTTAAATGGAGAATAACAGGTATTCAAACATCTACACAAATGTTCAAAGCAGCATCATTCACAAGGGCCACAGTTGAGAGCATTCTAATTGTCCATCAACTGATAATGAATAAGCAAAATGTGGTATTTCCATACCATAGAATATTATTCAGCCATTAAAATGACATTAATTTATAATGCAACATGGATGAACCTTGAAAACATTACATTAGAGAAAGGTAATATATTATATGGTTCTGTTTGTATGAAATAACCAGGATAGGTAAACCATAGAGAAACAAAGCGCATTAGTGGTAACCAGGGACTGGAAGGAAAAAAGGAAATGACTGGTTAATGGATCTGGAGTTTCCTTTCAGGGTGATGAAAATATTTTAGAACTAAACAGAGGTGAGAGTCGCACAACACTGTGAATGTACTAAATGTTGCTGAATTATATACACTTAAAAAAGCATAAAATGTTGCTAGAGGGGAGAGGGTTCTGGGGATGAGAGAGTTGGTGAGGGAGATTAAGAGGTACAAATTTCCAATCACAGAACAAATGAGTTCCAAGTATGAAATATATATAGTGTTGGAAATATAGACAATTATGTAATATCTTTGTATAGTGGCAGATACTAGATCCAGATACTACATAGATATTAGATCTGAGGGATCATGTTCAAATGTATAGAAATATCAAATCACTATGTTGCACATGAGGAACTAACATAGTGGTCTAGGTCAGTTACACTTCAGAAACAAACTCATAGAAAAAGAGATCAGATTCGTGATTGCCAGAGGTGGGAGGTGGGGGAAGGGGAATTGGATGAAGGGAGCCAATGGGTACAAACTTCCAGTTACAAGATAAATAAATGATATAATGTACAATGTGATCAATATAATTAACACTGCTGTATGTTATGGAAGTTAAGAGAGTAAATCCTGAGATTTCTTATCACAGGAAACAATTTTTTTCAATGTCTTTAATTTTGTTTCTACATGAGATAATGGATATTCACTAAACTTATTCTGGTAATCATTTCATTATGTAAATGAAATCACTGTGGTATAAATCATAAACTCATACAGTGCTGTATGTCAATTATTCTTTAATAAAACTGAAAAAGCAAGGAAGGAAGAGAGGGAGGAAGGAATTTAATTCTGTTATGTGAATTTTACTCCAATAAGAAAAGTAAGATAAATAGATGATAGGTAGATAGATAGAGGAACAGATGTCAGGTTTGAGATCTAAATGAAATACAAAACCAAGATAATAACATGGATAATTGTACAAAAATCTACCATATATTAGCTAACTATGTGTCAGTTACTGTGCTTAGGAGGTTTCTCTACTATGGCCCTTCAATAATATATTATTATCCCAAGTTCATGTATTGTTATCCTCATTAACCAGATTGGAAAACTGGGTGGTTTAGTAATTTGCTCCTGATCATAAATCTAATAAATGTAACCTTACTGGGGGAAAAAAAGCATTTTAGTTTATAATACTGAGTGAAACCATTTCTGTTGGAAATTTCCACTAATACAAATAAATCAGGGAAAAGTAAGAGTTGTGCCTTAATCACATGCTCCTGTTTCCCATTTGAAAGGATTCCCTTTAGAGAATTCCGTGGTGATCCAGCGGCTAAGACTCTGCGCTCCCAATGCAGGGGGTCTGGGTTCTATCCCTGGTCACAGAAGTAGATCTCACATGTCACAACTAAGAGGTTGAATGCTGAAACTCAAGATCCTGAATGCCCAACAAAGATCGAAGATCCTGTGTGCTGCAACTAAGACCCAGCAGCGCCAAATATTTTATTTAAAATATTTTTAAAACAAAAAGGATTCCCTTTAGTTGGAAGGAGAACTGCCATTGGTACTGCCTGGAAAATGTACCACCATGTTTCAGGCACTGTAACCTCACTCATGCACATAAACTTCACCCTAATTCTCACCCTCACGACCAGCCCAAGAAGAGGGTGTCATCATCCCCGTATCACAGAGGGTAGAACTGCAACTCAGAGACTTCAGTCACATCCCCAATATTACAAAACGGCTGAATGGCCAACAGGGTTCCAAGCCAGGAGGGCCTGCCTCCAGACCTCTGGGGGCTGCTTCTTCTACCCAACACGCTCCTTCATCATTTAGCCTTTCTCCATGGGGCAGTGTGAAGGACGGTGGCTTGGACACCAGGGTCCAGGTGAGTCATCACAGCAGTTTGATGCAGTTTGAACAATCAGTACTGAGACAGTAGTTGGTCCCATGAAGACATGGTACTGTTTCTCCCTTAAAACACAGATTATAGACTGGCAGATCCTGAGCCACATCTATATCACAGATGTGCTTTGCCTGCCCTGCACATTTTTAAAATAATTTGAATTAATTTACACTGCTTGAAAAATTAGGAAGCTTCACGCAGAAGTCCACAGTCTCAGCTTACTTCTAAAAACAGAAATATCTGGCCACACCAGACCTGTATTTCAAAGCATGAGCAGCAATATGTGCTCTCCACTGATTCATCGTTGAGGTTGGTAGCTGAGATTCATCACTGAGGTTGCCTGACCAAGTAGAGCAGTCCAGAGGCCTTCATTTTTCCACGGGTGCTATGCATTTTATTTATTAACCAAGGTCACATTGTTAATTAACCAATTAACCAAAGTCACATTCATAAATTTTTCTAAAATATCACAGCTGACATAAGCTGGGCAGTCTATAATAACTCCTACCTGCCCTTCTCTACATCCCAGGAGACAGACTCCTTTTGTTGTGTCTATTTTACAGATAAGAAATCTAAGTAAGGCGCAAACCTGCCTCTGGGTCTCCAAACAGTCACAAAGGCACTGGCATCATTGCTGATGTGCCACGTCCACCAAGAGCTGGGGATTCTGCGGGAGGACAGGGCTCCATTCTAAAGGGACGAGTAATTAACAAAAGATAGGTCAGTTATCAAATGAGAGATCTGAGCCTACAGCACCCATACACTCTGGGAGGAGAATGCTTTGCCTGCTGTTTGGACCTTTATAATACTCCAAGGAAAGCTCACAGTGGAAACCAAAGTGACGAGAGCCCAGGTCCCTGAAGGCCCTGGAAGAAAGAGAGACTTTCTAGCTCCTCTGTGCTCACTGTTTGGAAATGACAATAAGGGAACTCAAACCATGTGGTCAATTCTCTGTTTAAGGGGCCCAGCCATTTCAACTAGGGAGTCAGAACTGCTTCACGTGTTCCCCTCTCATGTCAATACATGGAGGTTGACAGACAAATCTGTGTCAAGCAAAGGCCTTTTGGGAGGTTGAGTTTAATGACCTAGCTAGTTTAAGGACTAGCTCTCCAGTTCCCCCGCATCAGTCTCACTTGTGTGCCTTCAACGCCATTCACACCACTCACCTACCCCTGCCTGGGGAGTGATCAACTCCAGCTCCCAGAGGGAAGACTCCGCAGTTATTGTGGGTTAACTCATTCCTTCTAAAAGGGCATGTTGAAGTCCTAACCCCCGATACGTGTGAATGTGACCTCATTTGGAAGTCAGGTCTTTGTAGATGACATCCAGATGAGGTCATATTGGATCAGAATTGGCCCTAAATCCAGTGATGAGTGGGGCTTCCCTGATAGCTCAGTTGGTAAAGAATCTTCCTGCAATGCAGGAGACCCTGGTTTGATTCCTGGATCGGGAAGATCTGCTGGAGAAGGGATAGGCTACCCACTCCAGTACTCTTGGGCTTCCCTTGTAGCTTAGCTGGTGAAGAATTCACCTGCAATGTGGGAGACCTAGGTTCAATCCCGGGGTTGGGAAGAAGGCTGCCCACTCCAGGATTCTGGCCTAGAGAATTCCATGAACTGTATAGTCCATGGGGTCGCAAAGAGCCGGACACAACTGAACGATTTTCACTTTGCAGTGATGAGTGCCCTTATAAGAGGTCCATATAAAGACACAGGTACACAGAAATACACAGGTGTGACTCTGGAGGCAGAGATTGGAATTATGCTACCAACTGGCTAAGGAAAGTCAAGGATTGCTGGCAACTGACAAATTCTCCCTTGGGGCCCCCAAGAAAGAACTAACCTGCTGACAACTTGATTTTCAGTTCTATCTCCTGGAACAGTGAAGTCTTCCTGCTTGTCGGAATTTGTGATTGCAGCCCTTGTACACTAATGCAGGAGCTAAGGCTGAAATAAGCAGAAGATTGTCACCTGTCCTAAAGCTCAAACCTGGACACACTGGTGACTCTCACTCATCTTTCAAACCCCAACTAAAGTTCACCTTCGCCTGGAAGATTTCTCAACCCTCCTCCTATGGAGTTAATAGTATCTCCTCAAGGCAGAGGCACTTTCAGGTTGGAACATTTCATTCAAGCAACAATATCATGAGATATCATTGCTATTTTTTAGTTGAGGAATCTTAAGCACACAGAACAGATGGTCATGTGATTAATACGGTAGATCCAGAATTCAGATCTGGGACCGCCTGACCCGGAGGCTCACAGACTTCTCCCTTCACGCCACAGTCACAACTGTTTTTCGGAGTTTCCAAAATAAAATGCCTCCCAAGCATGTCCTCCTCTCTCCTTGATTCTCTCTGCACTGTGGTTCTCACACTGGGAATGACAACGGGCAAAAGCAAGCTTTAGAAATACTCATCCACAAACAGACTCAGAAAACATGATTCATGGAGTAAATGTGCCTGAGAGATTTTTTTTTTTAATCTTTTCTAAATTGCTTTTATTAGGCTTTTGATAAAAATATATTTGGCTGTAATGTGGTTCAGGAAACCATTTTGATAGGTGGAGAGAGGAATTCCCTCCAGGTTTGTCTATTTATTTATCATTTGTCTATTTATTAATCATTTACATATGAGCTATTTTAAAAAATGGCCACTGTGGGCATTTTCCTCGTTCTGTTCACCTCTCCATATTTATGGTTCCAAGAATCCAGGTGTACCTTTTCTCTAATCTGTCTATATATTGTTTATTAATCACGTATGGAGAAGTGGCAAGAGAAAAAAATATGCTGAAAAGCAAATCACAATGTAATAGTATTAGCCTGAGACAGTGTTTGGGGCATAAACATCCACAGCAACAAAACATGGAAGTAAAATAAATTCACCTAAGCCCCTGAAACATTTTTGTTTCGGAGGAAACTAACAGGGAGAAGGCCGGGGAGGAGACGTACTGTTGTTAAACCTGACTTTCCTGCCACTGTGTGTGTTTGCATTGGTATCAAATGTTCATTTTCCTTTAAGTCCCAAACGTCATTTAATCTGGCCACCTTGTAAAGAAAGATACTAATCTAGGCATAATGACAGATGGAAGGTTTTTAAATGATCTTGGAATTATGCCCAAAGATTCTAACCTCATATCTCTTTCTTAGAAAAGCTCTTGGGTAAATATGAAAATATTATTCCTCTGCCAGAAAGAATGATATTAAGCCAACCTACAGTCAGTTGTGAAAACTCACAGCTTCCTCCCTCAGATATTTAATCAAACATTAATGATTAAAGAAACACTAAATAGTTTCATTCATTCTGAGCTTATCTTTATTATTCTTTTTTTCAACTCTGGGTTTCCCCCTTTCTCCTTACTTTCTAACTTCTTTATTTGCATATTTAGCTCTTTAAAAACTTGATTTAGTAAATATATAGAGAATCTTCAACCCAACAAAGATGGAATATACTATCTTTTCAAATACATGGAACATTTTACTACCAGGGACACTGGGCTGCATTCCAAAGGCAGTCTCAACACATTTCAAAGGGAACACATACAAAGCAATAGAATTGCAAATAAATAATAAAAAAGAAAGGATATTTTGGGGAAACTGAAAAGTATGCTTCTAAATAACTCATAAATTAAAGAGGAAAGCACATAGAAAATGCAACATTCAAAATTTCCCAAGAGTGAAAGCTACCATACACGAAACCTCACAGGAGGTAGCCATAGCAGTACAGAGACGAGGGATTCTATGGAAAGGTACGGGGCTTCCCAGACAGCTCAGCAACAAAGAATCCACCTGCTGTGCAAGACCTGGGCTCAGTCCCTGGGCTGGGCAGATGCCCTGAGGAGGGCATGGCAACCCAGTACTCTTCCTGGAGAACCCCATGGACTGAAGAGCCTGGCAGGTTACAGTCCAAAGGGTCGCAAAGAATCAGACAGGACTGAAGCGACTGGGCACACACGAAGCCTTAGATGTATTACATGTAAAAATAAGAAAACTAAATGTAAGTGAACATTCAACTAAAAAAAAAAACTAGAGAGGAGAACACAATCTCATGACATTAAAGAAAAAAATGAAAATAAGGAGAAATTGACAAATCCATAACTAATATAAAATTTTAACAGATCTCTATCAGAAAGTGAAAGATCAACAGAATGAAAAGCGATTAGAAATAGATAATACATAAACATATAATTAAAAAGAGTTCCAAGAGCCTGACTTTACCCCACATTGACAGGAATTTTTAATTTCCTTTTAGTGTCCCTGGAGCCAAACGACCAGCCGTCATATCTACCCCAGACCAGGAGTCCATAGGCCTGCAGTCCATATCTTCTCCAACTATGCATTTCTATTCTGTCTGGCCCGCAGGTGGCTTGCCCTAGTTTGGGTTGTTTAATTGCAACTACATATTTTTTACTGTCTTACTTTCATTTATTTTTCTCTTTTTTAGTATCTTTTTAATTTCATGGGTATTTTTGATAGTTTATGTATCACTGTTATATGTTTGAATCAGAGGAGATATGCTGAAGTATAAACCCACTTGTGATCTGGGTCAGAAGTTACCACTGTTGAATTTTTTAAAATTTATATTTAGTTTTGATCAGCAATACAGCAATACATGCACAATATATAGTAAAATATTCCCATCGAGAGATACAGAATGCATAATTATGTTTTACATGCCATTCTATTTAGCTTCCCAACAGATGATAAATAAACTCACAATACAACTTCTGTATACCAGCTGGTTAAATTCACTGATTATAAATTTTATCACATGATAAGTTATTTACTTTTTCTATATGGTTTTTCCTTCAAAACAACCCTTGAATCTAGCTCTTTACTCGCCTGTTCTCCAATAGCCGTTCTACTCCCCCACAAGCTTACATATCACATCTTTCCTAGCTCCCATTTTGACCATGGTGTTTCTCTGCCCCTTGCCCACCAAGGCATTGTTATCACTCTTCACTGAAATGCAAATCCCTGGAAGAACCTCATCATCCCATATCCTTGAACTTTACTGACTAAAAATCTCCTTTAAGAAATCTTCTGTCATTAAACCACATTCACCTTTCATCCCAGACTTTTATTATATCTATATATGTATATTGGATTATGATTTATCAGTCTTTATAAAATAGTGGTCCCCAATCTTTTGGGCAACAGGGACTGAATTCGTGGAAGACAATTTTTCCATGAACCAGGGTGGAGGAAGTGAGAGTTTCAGTTCAATTCAAGTGCATTATATTTATTGTGTACTTCATGTTTTTTCAGATTATATCAGCTTCACCTCAGATCAAACATTAGATCCCTAAAGTTGGGGACCCCTGCTGTATAGTATACGTTCACTAATAGGAATACATGTTTTCAACAACACTCCAAGATTAGGGAGTCAACAGTAAAATGGAAAATGTCTGGGATTTGGAGTCAGACAGACCCATGTTTAGAACCTAGCTCCATTACTGTGTGATCCTGGGAAAGCAACTTGCTCTCTCTGAGCCTTCTTTATCAGTCAATTGGGGATGATAATATTTAACTTCCAAGTTGTTGTGAGGACAAAATGAAACACAAGGATAAAATGAGAATGAAATAATGTGTATGGTAAAAGTCGTGTCCAGTGGCCGGCACATACTTATTCCTTAATACATAATTACCACCCTTTCCTGCCTTCCATATGTTTCTCAAGCTTATTACTCATTAGGCTTTAAGTGACTTTAGCATCAGGAACTGCTTCCAGCTAAGCACCAGCTCAGAGTTCCTAAAAAATGGATATTCAGGTGTGTGATTAAGGTGTACATGTCCCACCTCCTTCCCTGCTGCTCTGCCACTATTCCTACCTAGGGTTGCTGGGCCCTCAATTAAGCATCACCTCTCAAAGGCTCATATTCTCACTGCCAGCAGAATATCAGAAGGAAGTCTCTGGGTTTCAGAGCACAACACCCACAATCAAAGAGAGAAGGTCATCAGTGCAGACACCAGGCACATAGACTGGAGGCCCCAGCTCACCTGCCAGAACCAGCTTCCCTGAAGCAGGATAAGGCTTGTCCGCAGAAGTTCCACAGTTACACTGGTCTGCGTGAAAAGCTCCAAGAAGGCAATCAGGCCTGCCGAAAAGATGACCAAGACCAGAAGCTTGTGCACAAAGACGTCCAGCATTTCCCGGCCATGAGTGTGGTTGTAGAAGACAAACGCTGTCAGAGGCAGAAAATATTGTTTGTCCTTTTCAGTGAAACTATCTACTGTTTCCCTCAATACACAACTTTCATAAACACACACATTTATTTGTCCAAAATATCAGATGCCCACTGCTTCCTACAATATTGGAAACCTCTAGCATTTGGGGGGAATTCCCAGGTGGCACAGTCCTAAAGAATACACCTGCCAATGCAGGAGGTGGAGGAAATGTGGATTCGATCCTTGGGTCTGGAAGATCACCTGGGATAGGAAATGGCAACCTACTCCAGTATTCTTGCCTGGAAAATCTCATGGACAAAGGAGCCTGGTGGGCCACAGTTCATGGGGTGGCAAAAGAGTCAGACATGACTGAGCACACAGCATTTTTGGAGTCAACACTACCTCTTTAGGATGGAATCTTTGAAATTTCCTTTCCCCTTCCCCAGCCTTTATTCTCTTCTCCAGTACATCATGACATTTTCTATAACTATATTTCAAAGCCATCTTTTATGCAAAATTAAGAATAATAAGCATGAAGGCAACAGTGAAACAGGTATGAAGGTGAACAGACAGATGAATGAGACAGAGCCTCACCTTAAGAAATTCAGTTCACTGAAGGCAGTAAATATACACACAAGTCAGAAGAGTGGAATTTGATGGGTATGATGAGATTCCCTGGAAGCTGCCAAGAAGTAGTAACTAACTATATTTTTTAATCCCATGGACAGAGATGCTGGCTTCAGTTTCATCCTTTTCATTAAGATGAGGGGGAAAAGATGTTCACTGAAAATATGATAACATCCTGAGATTAAGAGAATCATGGCATCATAGCTGGTGCCCAACTAAAGCTCTTATCTTTGGATATGGGAGGCAAAGTGGACATTAAGAAAGACTATCTCTTGATAATGGGGAGATTTTACTAGTTCTACAATCAATCTATCCCTTACATATAAAATAAATGAAAACAAATCATTAAATACTTGTTTTTGGTGTTTCTGTACAGAGTAACAGGGAGGCTAACAGAACAAGGAATGTTAGGACCTCATTTTTATGCGACTGGATTTTTTGGACCCTGCTTATCATGTAATGGTGGAGTTTCACTATATCAATATTAAAAAGGTTACTTTGTAATTTGGAAGCTACTCTACTGTGAGTGGTCTCCTCGTTTGAGAATATTTATGCTTCACTATTCTGAGCTCAATTTTATATGTAAAAAATGGAAATAATGATCATCTCTTGGATAAATCAGAGATAAACCATGGCCGTCATTGTTGCTGATTCATTGCTTAGTCATAACAGACAAGTTCTGCAACCCCCATGGCTGTAGCCCAACAGGCTCCTCTGTCCATGGAATTCTCCAGGCAAGAATACTAGAGTAGGTATTTCTTTAAGAAAAGTGTGAAATGTGAATAAAACACATTGAATGACTGGGTTTGTCCGGCTGTACTAAATGAGTCAGTGTGTGTGTGTTGGTATTCAGTCACGTCCAACTCTTTGTCACCCTGTGGACTGTAGCCCACCAGCCTCCTCTGTCCACTGAATTTTCCAGGCAAGGACACTGGAGTGGTAGCCATTTCCTTCTCCAGGGGATCTTCCTGACCCAGGGGTCAAACCCAGGTCTCTTGCATTGCAGGCAGATTCTTTACCAACTGAGCCACCAGGAAAGCCCAAATGAGTCAGGAGGGAAGGAAAATCTTTGGCATCCTGTCTAGGATATCTCAATAGCTCACCATGGCCCGAACCAAACAGATGACCTTATGAGCCAAGGCTATACCAGGACACAAAAGAAATATTATTGTAAAGGGCTAGACAAATGTCCAAGAATAATGAAAGGTATATGAAAATACTCATACTTACCCTCCACAAATAAGGCATTTGATAACATTAACTTGCTAAAGGAGGCAGGAAGTGAAATGATGGTAGAAGATAAGATGTTTGTCACACCCAGCAGCCCAAAGAAGAAGTACATGGTAAAATGCTGCCAGCTCAGGAGTTGAACCCATTGACCCTCTTGGTAGTCATACAAGGTCAGGTGTGGTCCTCCAGGAAAGAACTGTTCTCCAAGGATGCCTGAAGAGGGATATATCACACTTTAAGCCATCTTTCCACAATTTTACTGAAAAGGGAAAATGCAGAAGGACCGGCCTACTTCTTAGCCCAATATACTGTCTTTTATTGGCACGGATTCTTCTATCTGGGCTGTTACCTAACAGCTGAGCACTGGTTCTTTAGGCTGGTTTTGAAGCTTCAAAGATTGGTTTGGATAATCACTCTTAGTCAAAGATAGTGAGTTTCATCAAACAGCTATTTCAGATCTTCAAAGCTAATGGTCTTAGTTCCACAGAGTTCCCTGATAAGTTCCCCTGATGGCCTTAGTTCCTACTTTAATCTAATGACTAGATAAATCCTGAGTAATTTTAGATTTAGATTTGTGAGATTAATCCTATAGCATCTGATTATTTCTTCTTACATAATACATCTTTGGGTAGTGAGTTGATCTTGATTCAGGATTAAAATGCTAGAGTTCAGCTTCTCCCCAGTTAAGGATAACTGAGAAAGCACACACAGATATAGCATATAGTCTAGCCAGTTACACAAATTCTGAAAAACCTTCTTGAAGATGCTGCTTCATTTATTAATCTATAGAATTTGGCAAGGAAATTCCTCTCTTTGAAAAACAGTTGATCCACAGTTGGATGACCATTGCAAAGACCTCTCATCATGAACAAAGCATGAAGAAATCTAAAGGAAAATTAGGAAGTTTTGCCTTCAGTAAAGGAGAGGCTGAAGTGGAACTCTAAAAACAAAGAACATTTTTACAGAGTCATAGAACCAATGGAAAGGCCTTACAATCATCTGGCCCAACCTCCCTCTCTAATTTAGTAACCACACAAAAAGGATGAGCACAGAAGATAAGGTTTTCTTCAACCAGAACCCTGTGGATAGCCTATCAGCAATAATTTGTTATTGACACTTTCCTATAATCACTTGATTATCTTCATGACATTTTGAAAAATGTCTTGGATAGAGTTAACTCTTTGAGGCCTCAGAATAACTGACATAAAATTATCTTAAAGGCTCCAACTAAATCTAAAAAGGAAATTCACCTTGAGTGGACAGGCAAGTTAATTGCTATGACTAACTCATAAGGAATAGCCCTTTGTATAACATGAAGTATAAGTTCTAATAAATTATACCAGGTAGAAATTACAATTAGAATAGGTATTCAGGTGTTTTAATAAATGTTTATTTTAGCAATTTTTTGTTTTGATATTGAATTTTCTCTTTGCATGTGAAAATACCCCCAAAAGCAAACAGAACACAGAAAAGGGTCACTCACCAGTTAAAGCCATTCCAACTATTATGATTCCTTCCAACATTTCAATTCGACGGAATAATGCTTTGGAATCAAGGTAAGAAGTCCGTTTCTGCTTTTTGAAGGCATATTTCAGAATGCACTTTATAGTCCACCAAATCCCCATGATAAGAAAGAAGGATCCAGGGAGAGCATGGCCTTTGAAATTCCCCATAACTACCAAAATAAGAACACAGAGAAGATGAAGGTGTTTCATTTCCAAAACTTGGCCAAAACATCACTTATTCCTGTATACTATCTTCTGATGATGGTAGATATATACTGCTGAGTCAGAGGATCCAGTATAACTGTCGACAGACATAGACCAATTACAAAATCAACAATACCATCAAGTAAAAATTAGACATTTGTTGAACACTGAACCTTGTTCTAGGTGTTTTGTCTACTGATTTACATGTAATCTCTAACCTAATTTTCACAATATACCCACGAATCAGGGGTTAAATCACATTTTCAACTGGGATACAGGTGTAGAGAAGTGAAATTACTTATCCAAATCTCACAATTATTAAAAAAAAACTTTCACTGTTTTTAACAAGGAGCTCAAAAGATCTCTTAAAAGTAATAGTGTGTACTTAGCCAACACACTTTAATCACATTTGAAAGATAGTAATGGGAAAGTTCTATCTTTTTGTTTAAAACTCGAAGAGATATGAAGTTGCCTACAAAAAAATTTAAGTAGGTAATTTCAGAGTATCAAACATCAAGTGTGTGGAAGAGACCACTAGTGCTCATCAAATATCTGTGTACTCTTCCATACACTTTTCCCAGCTTCTTCTCCACTTTAATCAGAACCATGTTCCTAGTTCTGTCCAGCAGATTGTGGCATTTGTCACTTTCATGCTAAGTCAGTTAGGAGCTGATGTGACTCCTTTAACTTGTTTTTCCCCTGCCTTGGCAACCTAGGCATGGCATATCCACAACACAGAAGACAGTCAACCAGATTGCATGAGATTTTTGCAGGAAACAAACCTTTATTGAGTTAAGTCGTTAAAAGTTGACATTTAACAGCTTAATCCAGCAGATTCAGAGGGATACCAAGCCAAATTAGATTGTAAATTCTGTAAACATAACTGCTACATGATCAAGCGACAAAAAAACAGAAATACTCTTTCTTTTTGGTCTTGACCAAAAAAAATATGAGTTTTCAATTACGTGAGCAGTCCTTTGTTCAAAGCTATTGTACTTTCTACACAATAACAAAGAGAGAACTCAGAATCATCCCTGTGGATTTGACAGTAGGTCAGTACAGAAGAACTCATGAAAGGGGGATTTCAGGATTCCCCCCAGCCCAGTAGGGCTGGGTGCTGGACCTCTTGGTTTGGGACAGTTCCCTTTGAGTTACTTCCACATCCTCCTGACAGAACTGTGAAGTTTCAAAGATGAACTGTGAAGCTGACTCAAACACTAAAAGTCTCTTAAATCTCCAGCTGAGACCCCAGACGGACATTTCAGCAGCCCCTGAATCATCCATACCATCCTATAGACTCTGCCTCAGTGTACCGCATAGTTCAAAGTGCAGCTTCTTATCCAGACTCTGACTCTAATGAGTGGCATGGTCTAGGTGAGGCCCCTTAAGCTCTCTGAGCCTTGGTCCTTCATTAATAAAGAAGGAGGTGGCCTACCTGACACCTGGAGCTCCTTCCTGCCCTAAGAGATTCACGGATTCATTATCCTAACCACCATCTTTATCACAGTGTTACTGAGTCCTCCTACTTGTCATAGCTTGCGTGCGTGCGTGCGTGCGTGCATGCTTAGTTACATCAGCCAGGCTCCTCTGTCCACGGGATTCTCCAGGCAAGAATACTGGAGTCGGTTGCCATTTCTTTCTCCAGGGATAAAGTATGAAGTGAGTGAAGTGAAGTCGCTCAGTCGTGTCCGACTCTTTGCAACCCCGTGGACTGTAGCCCACCAGGCTCCTCCATCCATGGCATTTTCCAGGCAAGAGCACTGGAGTGGGGTGCCATTTCCTTCTCCATGTCATAGCTTAGGCAACCACAACAGACTAAAAAATACTTCTACATGGGATTGAAAAGTGCATCTACACTGTAAATTTTTTTAACTTTTCTGGAAAAGAATCTGATATATTCTAAAGGAATCTTCAAGACTTTACATTCCTTGGTACAGGGAAGGCACTTCTAGGAATTTATCCTAAACATCTAACTGGAAAAAGAGGTACCAAGTTAGAAACAATACACATGTCTAAGATTAGGAGATAGGGGGTATATTTAGTTAAAATAAATAAATAGGAATATTTTAAAACTGAGGAAGAGCTGAGGATCTAGAAAACTAGATCTGAATCCCAACTTTGCCATTTACCCACTCCACGTCTTGGGGAAACTTATTTACCCCTTCAGGGCCTCAGATTCCTCTTCTGTTGTGATCATGGGGCTCATGTGCTGTCGTTTTCAACTTTGTGCAACCCCCTAAACTGTCGCCTGCCAGGCCCCTCTGTCCGTGGAATCCTCCAGGCAAAAATACTGGAGGAGAGGAGAGCCCCGTGTTCTGCTTCCAAGGGCAACATGTCGGCTTTTGGATTGAGATCTAATTAAACTCGGTATTACTAGGCTTTTACCAGCAATTGCACTTGCAGGCAATAGTAAAGCAAGGAACTAAAGACAGATATACAGGTGGTGGTGTTCTAGAAGTTGACTGGAGTGATGTTTGAGGTTCTGAGTGAGTCAACTTCTAGAACACCACCACCTGGTGAAAACCTAGTAACCTCCACAAAGCAGAGCGAAACTGCCAGCCAGCCAGCAGAAACCCCGGGGAGATCACCAGGCTAACAAGCCAGGAGGTCCTTTCGCAGCATCCTTCCTGCTTGACTGCACCACTTATAAAGGTTCAGGCAGCCCTAAAATGGTGAGCTTCAAGATTCAATCACTGTTTTATAGCTTCCAGCCATCCTAAAAATTTATACCCTTCCCCATCCAGAAAAAAACCCTCTGCTCCTAGTGACACCAAACATCAGCCCTTAAGCTAAGACAAGAAACAATGCCTGAAACCCCCATTAGCTGTATTTTTCTGACCAACCCCTGACATACACAAACACACATACACCACCCAAAAGGGAAATATTTTAAAACTCTCACATTTGGGGGTAATACTGGGCAAATCTCAAGTGCAAAATCAGGTGTTAGGGGTTCATTCCCATTAACCAAAGCCACTTAAACAATGACAAGGCCTGTGTACGAAAAGAGGAGAGAACTCAAAATAGCCGCGAGAAACAGATTCTAAAATTTACTTATTGGATTCTGAACCAAATATAAATGAATACCATGGACAAAAACTTAAACTAACAATTCGTCTTCAGCCACCACAAAATTTTAAGTAAAAATTCATCTTGAGCCATGACCAAAATAAAATATTACTAAATCTTATTTAGTAACTCATATCAAGACATTTATAAATCCAATTCAATACACCAATTTGAGCTATTTCTTGAGCTCACTTTATCACTTGCCTTCATTCTCAAAGCAATGTGTATATAAGCATACATAGCTTTATTTTTTTTTTGATTCTCCACCATTCCATATCAGTTCTTTCTCTCCCAAATTTAAACTGTTTTCAAAGACTTTCTTAGTTAAATTATCCTTACCTTCACACTTTCCTCAGTGTCAACTCCCATGTAATTCTCTTCTCCTGGAATAGAATTTACAATGGTCCCAGTCTCAAGAAGGAAAAGCAGATACTGACTGGCCTAAGTCTAAAACTGTCCCCTCTTCCTCCTTGGAGACTAAACCAATGTGCTCATATCCTCCCAGCTTGAACTTGAGCAGATATGTCTTCAGAATATGTCACAATGCCTGCATAAATGTGAGTCTAAGGACTACACCCTTTTGAACACCCTACCTCCAGTCCAAACATTGTGCCATAGAGTATTTCTCAATGAGACTCACCTTGACACCCCACCCACATGACCACAGTTATGTCCCACCTGCTGTGAAAACCAGATCCAGGGGAACATGTTTGATCTTCAGTCTCTGTCTTCCAGGCTATCAAGATGGACAGGAGACAAAAGGAAAGGTCATGGCAGCAGTAACACAATAAAGCCTGATTTTAAATCTGAAAAAGACAAACCATCTTCTAACATACAGTGTCTCAAGCAAGAGATTGGTACAGGTGCTTAAGTTGGGAGTCACAGCCAAATCAAAGTTATAGGAATAAGAAAGTTCAGTTCAGTTCAGTCGCTCAGTTGTGTCCAACTCTTCGTGACCCCGTGGACTGCAGCACACCAGGCCTCCCTGTCCATTACCAGCTCCCAAAGTTTACCCAAATTCATGTCCATTGAGTCGGTGATGCCATCCAGCCATCTCATCCTCTGTCATCCCCTTCTCCTCCCGCCTTCAATCTTTCCCAGCATCAGGGTCTTTTCAAATGAGTCAGTTCTTCGCATCAGGTGGCCAAAGTATTGGAGTTTCAGTTTCAACATCAGTTCTTCAAATGAATATTCAGGACTGATTTCCCTTAGGATGGACTGGCTCAATCTCCTTGCAGTCCAGGGGACTCTCAAAAGTCTTCTCCAACACCACAGTTCAAAATAAGAAAAGATGATGGGAAAACATTTAAGTAGGTCAACCGTGAAGGTCACCTGCTCTCACAGAATAGACAAACTGTGATTTAGGTGAATAAATAAGTTAGAATAAACTATTCTAAACCAACATGAGGCTTGAACAAAGGGAAATGTGAACAGAAGCAACAGTCTGACTCTAACCTGGAGAGCCAGCAGCTGCTACCCTATCTGCATTCAAGTCTTATTTCCTCCTTCAGTGTACACTCTTGCTGAGCAAGGGCCAGGTCCCCTAGAAGGCTTCACACCTAGTTAGCACTCAATAAATAGCCAGAGAGTGATGAGCTCCTGCCTGGGAACTTCCTTGAAACACTGGCCTGGCTGGCAACCAGGATCAGAAAGAGGCAGGGTGCCTAATTAAATGCAGACGTGGCTCACTTCAGATTTACGAAATCAGTCAGTAGGGGGAAGCCCAGAAGTCTGTATTTTTAAGACTCACCACTTGATCTTTAGGTACTCTTGAGTTTTGAGGACCAAAGGCTTAGAGTATGTGGGGGACAAGCAAGATGGCACCAAGACACTCAGATTTAAATGTGGCCTCCCCAACACCATTCCCCAGAGGCATTTGTCTTCCATCAGTACCT